ATATATATATATATATATATATATATATATGTATGTTACATTTTTAAGCACAGCAGTTTTATAAATGATGCCTTCTAATGCTGATTTTTCACAATTAGGCACCCATTGTTCCCACTTTTGGCTTTATTATTTGAAAAATGTGAAATAGCAATGCAGAGTTCTGAATCACCTCTCTCAGAGAGCTTTAACATGGATATTCAAGCCTTTGTGCAGCATCAAGAGAGAGACAGGAAACCAATCTTTAGTGATAACCCTGAAGTGGATGGCTTGGTTAGTGAAATTGTACATTGTGTTCTTATAGATTTAGTGTGTTGAATGATTGTAGCCTTGTAATCAGTAAGCCTTATTAGACAGAGAGAAAAGGTCTAATTTCTTGCACATTCTACAGTGTTCAGGAAAATGGGAAATATGTTTTTTTATCTAAATGTGATAAAATTTAACTAGTACTTATAGGGAAGTTATAATTTGTAAAGAATATTGTCAATATTTATATAAAATATTGATGTAAACTGAACTGTCAAGTTATTTGCATACCCAAATATAAGTAACAAGCTTTAGACTCAGATAGTGATCTCTGAATGGGCAAAATATATTATATTGGTATTGGTTTTAATGTTGAAATTATTCAAACTGATTAACCACTATTTTATCAATAGGCTAGCTTAAATAAATCCAAGTTTCTGTTTGTTTGTAAAACTACTCTTAAAAACTATACAGATGTATGTAAAACCAAACTTATTTCTAAGATATTGTGTATGCAAATTGTTGTTAATGGTTTAAATCCAGCTAGCACTCTTCAAAAAACAGCCTCATTGCGTTCACAAGTATTACTGTTATTTAAAATCTTTAGCCACACAAATAGCTAATGATTGAGTTCTAATCAATATTTTGTACAAACCTGAGAGTTTCTTTCTTGTAACAATTTTTAAATAAAGTGGATTGCTTGAGTGGTTTCCTTCTTAACTTAATTTTCTTAATTACTACACTTTTTCTCTCTCTCCACTTTATATAATACCAATACCAACATAAAAAGCTTTCAAGTCAGTGTATTTCTGTTTTTGTTTTTGGTGTGGTTTCTGAAAAAGTAGATTTGTAATAGTAGATGTTATTTGGAACTTAAAATTATTCATTTTGATAAAAAACATTATTTTATTTTCTAATTATTTCTAAGCATTATATTGCAAAAAGTGTCTTTTCATTATTCTGAATACTTGTACTGTGATAATTCATGTTACCTTTAGACAACTATATAATATCTGTGAAATATATCAGGAGTGTAAATTAAAAGTTTGATGTACCAGCTCCTTGCTAGTAAACATTAGAAATGTAATAACCCAAGCTGAACTTATACTTATGTAATTTGTTTTCTTTTCTTTTTAATGGCTAAATTATTACACTTTGAAAATATATACATATTGTTATTAACTTACAGTTGCTTCCAAAGTATTACAAAACTAAAAATAATAAGAGTTACTACAACATAAAATCTGTGCCATGTTAATCAGTTTACGTTTACAATAACCACATAGTGGTCTGACATTTCAAACACCCATCCCTTTCCCACCCTATCTAGATAAAAAGGCCAGTCTGAGTCATTTTGCTAAAATGCAACTATTTTGTCTCATATCAATAAACATTTGCATTAAAAATCACAATTCTGAACATGATAAAAAAAATAATTTCATAAATTATAAAGTGTTATGTATAATATGAGTCTAAATGAAACTAAATAATTGGATATTTTAATTTACAAGTCCGTAATTGAGTCACGTGTGTTCCAGACTTCTCCAAATAATATTGCTGTTACCTAATTCTGCTGTTGAAAACATTTTAGCATATGTATCAAGTCTTTAAATGAAACTCAGCCAGTAAGGTATACTGTGCCAGTCTACGATGCAATCAATATTAGATTATACAACTATACCCCTCCACCATCAGGAGCATGGCACATCCTCCATGCACAGTACTTCTCTTCAGTACATTGTGTATACCAAGGGTTCATTATTTCCTTGTCATTGCATAGATTCAGATGTGTTTCTTCATTACAAAGTATGGAATTTTTGCACTTATCATTTTAAGCTTTTAGTTAGCATTCAACGTGTTTCCTTTTTTACCTTTTTGGATTTCAAGAAAGAAAGATGGGTATTTTTAAAATTTCAGTTAGAGCTTCTGATACAAATTATTATCTTTTTTTACATGAACTTGATTTTCTCTTTTCCCCCAGTTTGGAGATTTTCCTTTTCTTGTACTTTGGCTCCCCCCCCCTCAATCTGCTCTTTTATTGTCATTTGCTTACTCACCTTCATAGCTAACTGTTTGTTTTACCCGTTCCTTCTGAGGCTCTGCATCACTACCGTGACAGGGATAAGGTTGCATTAATCTGTTCTTCGTAATGCCCCATTTTCTTCTTCATTTATTGACCACTTCATATTCTTTGATGTTGGTATTTGGTTTATTGAGACACCTGGTTTCCTGAAGGTAGACTTTCTCTGTTTTCTTTCACGGAACCTCAGTTGATACACTACCTTTATGCAGAATTTTTGGGAAGTTCTTCATCCTGTAGCTTCTCTCCTTGGGTCCCACAGAGTTTCCCTTAGGAATTTTCTTTGTAAATTGGGACTCGTATATGTCTGTTTTCAATTATATCCTGAGGGCATTCACATGAATACTGCAGTCTTTAGGTCTGCATTTCTACTAGTCCCTGGATATTTGACAATTTCAATACTGTCCTGGAAAGTGTCATCTGCTGTGATATCTTTTCCTTTTTGAATTTGCTCATTTGAATTGGGTGGTCAGTTTCCTAAGTCACTATTGACTTCTGTTTAGTATCTGATTCATTTACTACCTTGTTTTCTGGGCAGTCTAAACCTTTTTTTTTTACATTTCCAAGATATAGAGCTTTTGGTTTGTAAGGTTCTCATGTTTCCTTTTCTCCCTTTGTATGAGGTTCTCTCTCATTTGGGACCTGTTATTTCTTTTGCATCTGCGGCAGTGATTTCTGCCATATCAATGGAATATATTCTGTGGAATACTGTCTTCTTTTGTTTCTCTACCTCCATCTCTTTTCCTCTCATTGTCATGGTGGCTCAAATATTTCCACATGGCTCTGAGCTTCCCTCTTCCCCTACCCCACCCAGACGTACACCTGTTCAAGGACATCTTTCTAGCCAGATGGTGGTAGTTCTGGATACCTCACCCTTTCAAAGTTTGATCTTCTGTGGTGCAATCTTTCTACATAAATGTCCTTGAAATATGAGCAGTTCAATGGACCTACCAACAACTTTTGTTACAGTTGTCTGAACATCCTGTTTTGATCTATTTCAACAACTCCACTGTCATTTCTTATATCAGTGGACAGGGAGATACTTGCTTTCAGGACCTCTGCATCTTGTTATCAAGCTTCACTTTTGGGTACATGACAACAACATCTAGTTGTTGGCCTTCATTGTTCAGGGAACTTCAAATTTGATAGTGGATTGGCTGTCACACCTACACCAAATCCTTCGGACATAAAATTATATACATCTGGTATTTCTCTAGATTTGTTCCTACTTTGGGAGTCCATTCCCAGGCTGCATGGCCTTGGCAGTATTCCCTATGAGTCTGAATTGGTAGAGTCTCTTTCTGTATGCCTTTTCTCCTCTCTAACTTCTTCTTGAGGTGCTGTCTTTAATTCACACCACTCCTTGCCAGAATCTTCTCATTCCCCTCTTTGGCTAGCTCATTCATAATTTCTGTTGCTTTGCCTCTAGCGATTTTGGTGTCAATATTACTACCATCTTGGAGGTCTCTTTTTAAATCAGCCTCAGATGCCCAACTTTTATTATGTTTTTCTACATTTTCATCTTTATGTGTGGCATTTATCTGGTCCCATGTAAGATGGGCATTCAACAGTTTTTTCTTTTGCTGTGTGATTCCTTTTCTTCTTATGATTTATCTCCTTCTACCTTAACCATTTGGGTTACACAACTCATCCACCTTATCTATTCCTTTTTTGTTGTTTTCTCAGATCACCTCCCATAAAGTTCATCATCTCATGGCATATACTGGAGACAATGAAACCCATTACATGGCTGGTGTTTATTCACAGGGAGTACTTCTCTCTCCCCAAACCAGCAGACAGTGTTCAGCCCATCTGCCCCTGTTAAGTGCCTGCTGTTGAGATGGGGTTTTCAGCAATACTGCTTCAGCAGAGTTTATATTTTACCTTCCAAGCCATATAGCTTCTTCTAAAATAAAAAACAGTATTAGGTGTGGTGCTTCCCTTCATACCTGGCTAGCATATGCTGACCCTATTCATGGTAACCCATTGCATATTCCATCACTGTGGGACATTATGATGATTCTGGTTCAGTCCATGCAACTATTCAGTGTTTTCCCTTATGTGACTTCCTCCTTACTGTTGCTTCTAGTAAAGTGGGATAATCCCAGTCCTAAGCCACTGGGTAGGTTGATATGGAGGGTTCCCCTTTCAGGTTGGTGTAACCTCACTGATATTAGACTGAGTGGTCATACCCCACCCCCCCAATTGGTATGCAGGTCTGGAATATTTCATCCCGATACCTGCATATTGCTCACACACTGTAAAACTTGACTTATTGTATCTGCAACATTACCTGTACATGTTCTTCTAATCCCATAAAACATATGGAGCAGTTGAGCAGGCATTATATTCTGCCCATATATGTGACACTTTAGCACCATGCAGGAATTCCTTTGACAGTACCTTTTGCTCTGCAATTTCTGTTGGGCAAAGGGTGTTCCCTGCATGAAATGGATGTGGTCTCCCACCAAGTGATGCCTTACTAAGTCCCCTTCAATTGGATGACATACTCCTTAAGTTTTCCCTTTCTATCACTATACTCCGAAAGGAGCTTATCTTTAAATTTCTATATCTACACCAGTCCCTCTACCATCTTATCCATTTTGTATATTTTCTTTGGCAAAGTGAGAAGCATTTCTGAAGTTAACATTTTCCTTACCCAAAAATGTGTTTCATATGGATACTCACCTTTCCATAGAATCATCCACACTTCCTCCCCACTTATGCTGTGTTTCATTTGCTTTAAGAATAAGCCTTTGGTATACACAACATACTCAATGGGAGTACTACATATGGAGAATGTGTTGCCCTCCTATTAGTGCAGAGCTATAGTATAATACTCACTGCATATAGGGTTTCATTTAAATGCTGGGTACATGCACAAATATTTTGGCAGTGACACAAAGTAAAGTATCTATCTGAAATACATTTTCAGGTAAGGAAAATGTTAATGTTTTATATCATGTTTATGATGTATTAATCTATGGTCTATAAACAAGCCACCAATCTTACAAAAATTTCATTCACAGTAGATATTTAATAATTTGAAAGAAAAAATAACAACAGGTGCCATTCTTGTAAATTTGTATAACTAAATATACAGTTGTATTTTAAACACTTTTCTTGGAAGCAGAACCACACTAGCTCTGGGCTAGTATATATGTAATTTGTGGTAACCAACATCAAAATTTGGTAGTCCCAAGCATTAAACTATTAAATTTTTACATTCCTGTATGTGAAAGGTAATTATATTTATTATTCAAGGAAAAATGTCAGTTCATTGTATAATAGTATAGATGATAGAGAGGAAGACACTTGTATTCATTGAAAGATTCTTATATATATGTTGTGTACTACAATAGAAACAAATATAACTGGTTCTCATATTGTCATTTGTTGGATATACATTTTTCCCTTCCATTAAATATAAAGGTTGGATAATGGTAATTAAAACATTATAATTTAAAAATAATGGATGTGGTATGAGTATTTTAAGGCCCAAACATGGCCCAGTGGTTAACATGCCAAACTTTGAATCTTTAGGCTCATTCTTCAAATCTCATTACTGCCAAATTGTTTTTTGTTTTTATTTTTTACATTTGTGAGTGGCCCGGCACGGCCAGGTGGTTAGGGCGCTCGACTCGCAATCTGCGGGTCGCGGGTTCGAATCCCCATCACACCAAACATGCTCTCCCTTTCAGCCATGGGGGCATTATAATGTGATGGTCAATCCCACTATTCGTTGGTAAAAGAGTTGCCCAAGAGTTGGCGGTGGGTGGTGATGACTTTCCTCTAGTCTTACAATACTAAATTAGGGATGGCTAGCGCAGATAGCCCTCGTGTAGCTTTCTGCAAAATTCATAACAAACAAACATTTGTCAGAATAAACTTGATATCTTTGTGTTTCTTCCTAATCCAGTACTTATTTTATTTCAACACCTAACATATGAATGTTAAATTTAAAAATCATCTAAAAAAAAGAACATAACATAAACAGAATATTTTATTTTTGTTATTAAATACAGAATAAAATATTTACACAACTCATCGTGAACTGTTGCATTTATGTTGCAGGAACCATAAACATTACTTGTATGCAAACTTTTAATAGAACTATTTATCATCTTTTATTGTGTTATTTTGATAATAGCAAAAACTAATTTTTCTATGTTCATTAAAAAATAAGTCCTATCAGTTCAGAAGTATTTAACAGCAATGTAAACACTTGTCATTTATAAAGGGTGAAACAAGCAAATTTTCAAATGAAAGGTCTAATAAAGTTATGTCAATTTTTGTCAGTTTTGAAATAGTTAGAATAACCAAGAAATTAAATAATGACATATTTTTGTAAATATGAAGAGTTAAAGTCTGTGCTCTCTGATGTGATTATGAAATTTGTTACCAGCTAACAGTTTATTTTTCAACAAGTAATATGTTGAACTTAGTGTAACAGAATCTTAAAATACTTTCAGATGATTAAAGCCATTCAGGTGTTAAGGATTCATCTGTTAGAGCTGGAGAAAGTGCAAGAACTTTGTAAAGACTTTTGCAACCGCTACATTGCTTGTTTAAAAAATAAAATGCAAAGTGAAAATTTGCTTCGATCTGAATATCCAACTCTTGCTAATGGCACATCATCTTCTGCAGAGTCTAGTCCTGGAAGTACACCAAACAGCAGTCAACATCAGGTAAGGTTCACTTTGAATTAAAACTGAGATATAATATTATATAATACTTATCCACAATTAATCCATCAAGGATCATTGTTTGTTCCTGTTTTTCATATAACATCATCATAAGTGTAAGGTATAAGAATAACACTATACAGTGATATCATTTATACATGATATAAAAAAGTATAAACTAGCCATGATGTTACTTTTTTTCTCTCTCTCTCTACTAAACAGAATTTTATTGTAGACCCCCTCTCTCAATTTAATACGCTATTGGTGATAATTTTTTCACATCATATGTAATTGTTGAAAGATAAATGTATGATACTTTCTGAATACTTATCTCTGTTATTTCTATTACTTTTGTTATAAGCAGGTAGAAGTAAAGTGTTTCAAGTTCTTGGTTTTAATTTTCTCGGTTCATAGGGACATTTGTGTGTCCCATTTTTATGCAACACTTTCTTATTAAGGGTAACAGATTTAGCCAGATTTCTCATTCACTTGTATGTTGCTTGTAATTAGAGCCATACAGTAATGTGTATGGTATTATAAAAACGTTTCTTTCAAAGTCTTAAAAGCTTCTTTTTTTCAGTATCTAATATAACAGCTAAACAATATTCCTAACTTTCCTTTCTTTTTTTAACAATTTTTCAGGTAAAAGGTAATGTGTAATCAATGGAAGTATATTAGACTTTTAAAGATTCAGCCCCCATTTCTCTCAGTAATTTCTAATTTTAAGGCTAAAAAAATCATTGTTATTGAAAATTAATAGAATACCTAAACAAAGCAGAACGGTTGTATTTTCCAATGCCAATTTTGTATGACTGCTTCACCTGCAATGAATAATAGCTTTCCTTTATTTTCATAAGTCCTCCAACTGTATTAACTGGGAAAAAGAAATACGTTTTCCAACCCTTGACAGTTACCATGCCCACCATCTATAATTTGCCTTGATATCTACAATGTACATGTTACATAGTCATTAGAAATAATTCAATTTACACTATACTCTACCAGTGGTTAATTTGAAGTTAATGCACAGTTTTCCTTATTGTGTACATGTAACTGCCATTCATATTGTTGTCTGCTTAATTGACTATAGCACTTACTGTTGTTTCTTACCTAAATATGCTATAGTTGGAGAGACAGTTAAATTGTATTTAGGTCTTACTTTAATATTTTAGTTATCTATGTATTATGCATTTTTTAAAAACCATACTTGAACGGTTTAATCATTTTTATAAGTTAAACTTGTTGCCTGGATTGGGAAAGGTTATAAACAAGATGGCATGTATAAGCAGCATTTTGTTTTGGCAACACATGTCTGCAGGGAGTCTCCTGAAAGACCTTCATAAAACCCCACGGGGATCAGTTGATGTATGGGCATAAATGATAATAGATGAGGAATTTCAAAGAAAAATTAAAAATAAAATATAAGTGAAAAGATAAAGACATGAAATTATGCATACAAGAAAAATATGACTATTCTAGTGAATTTCTGTGAAGAGTTGAAAGGTATGGTCATATTACCATTTGTTAATTTTAAACATTTCATTGCACTGTTTGTTGATGATAAAAGAAAGAGTTAGTGATATAGTACAGAAAATGGAAAATAAAATATAAATATTATCCTTAAAAACTTTTGATATTAATTTATGAGGTTCTATAGGTTATGTAAATGACATGTGAAAGCTATAAGATAAAAAATAGTATTTTTACACTTCATATAAAAATCACCTTGCAGGTGAACTATTCAGAGTACGAATGCAAATAACTACATTAAATAACGAATTTTTATTAGAAATAGTAGAAAAAAATCAATATTAAAGATTTTATTTTTCTGAAACTACATACTTTTAGGAATGTTCTTGTCAAATTTTAAACAATTCCATCCACCACTTTTATTTTTGGAATGAAATATGATGCAAGCAACATTACCTACTAAAAAATTAGTAGCCGGTAATCATAGGGATAAAAAAAAGGGTGCAAGTAGAAACCTCTAAGGTGTGCTGGTCATTTTTGAGAGGAAAGTAGCAGGAAAACATGGTTCTGCTTTGTCCCAAATGACTGCATCAAAGAAAAGTTTATAGTGATCAGAAGTTTAGGCAAGAATTTACAGATACTTTCCTAAAGAAAGTGAAGAGTAATACCTACAGGGCTCTTATTTATAATACACTGTAATTAGTAAATATTAAATAAAACATAATTAGTAGTGACTCCATGTACATTTATATTTTTTGCTATTTTTCCTTGTTCTAGCAGGGATTACTATTTTTCAAAATTTATATTAGCAGATCTGCCTATGTATTTATATAGTATGCTGCTTTGATAATTAAGAAAAGGTATTGATATATAGATGTTAAAAGAAACTAAATTTTATGATTTATGGAAAAAACCTTAATATCTTTTTTTTTTCAATCATTATTCTCTATAACTTCTACCATTTTTCAAACATCCAAGATAGCATAAGGTAAGCCTTCAACCAAAGGTGACTCGCTTCACAAATTTGGTGCAAAATTATAAAGTTAAGAACTGAATAGGCAGGCTTCACTTTTTTTTTTTACTATTTAATGTCATCTGGTAATCAGAATTTTAAGAAACTGCTAAATAAATGTGTTTGTTTGTGTGTGTGTGTGTGTGTGTATATATATATATATATATGACTTCCATTTGAAAAAGGAATGTAGAAACTCATCACTTGACACTATTATTATCATTGTGCCTTGGTTTGTTTTTGACAGCCAGGCTTGACAAGTGATGGATCTCTTGGTAACATAGTTTTGCAGCAGGGTATGTCCCAGAACCCCATGATAAGTCCAAGCCAGATTGTTTCAGGTGGAACAGTCTATCAGATGGTACAAACACCACAAGGCATTGTAGCTCAGCCAGTTCAGGTTAGTATATTATTTTGTATGCCTCTGGCTTTACAATATCATCACTGAAATAAAATAGAATTGATAATAATGCTTATAAAAACACTTAGTAAAAACAACAAAACACTTTTAAAAGATTGGGTATATTTTTGTTATATTTAATTTTTTTTAACCTTACATGAATAAGAACGAAAACCTAATGCTATACATCTTCAACAATACCTCATCTCTGCATGGAAAATAGCTTGATCCCTCATGTATCTGCCAGTGAGAATTGCACGTCACTAGCCTTGAGCTAACTCCCACCTAAAATGCATGTGTTTAACTGTTTCCAATGGGGCCACGGGTGAAAAGCCATGTCATCTCGTTTGTTGATTCGCATTCAAAGTTTTTATGAACTACTATTATGTGAATAAATTTGGCATCAAACTGTAGATTATAATTCAAATTCTAGTATTATACATTACTCAACTTCTTAATATAAAAGTAAATATTAAAAAAAACAGTTAAACATCGATTTTTTTTTTGTCACGTGGTATGTTGAATACAGCACTGGTTCAAATTAGATGTTTGTTATGTCAAAATACTAAGTCTATAATTTTGTATGAATTAGGAACTCAAATTACCAATATTGACAAGCTAGAATATAAAATAAAAACCTCTTATCTATTTGGTAGGATATTGCTCATGTAATGAATCAAACTCAATGGCACCCTTCCCACTTCTTTCCAATTTTAGAAAGGCTCTCTTATATACACTTACTTCTATATATACAACGAATAACCAATCAAAAGCTCAGAATGTCCCCTAGAGGGTTTTTTAGCCATTTTAAAGTCTTAGGACTCCATCTCTTTCTTTCAACCAAGATTTCAAGGAGGTAGGTTGTGTCTTTAGTCTGCTTGAAATTTCATATTTTTTTAGACTATAATACAGCTTAGTTTTACTAAGCTTGATAAATTATAGTGGAATTCTATGGTATTGATATAGTAATTTATGAATTTTGGGTTATTCAACTGTATATATAAAACCTAAAAAAATTATTTCTTTTCATATCCTCCACGTGCAAAATTTTAAAAGGCTTATCAACCTACTTCAAGCAGTAACAGAGTACAAAGACCATAATTAGAAGAGATAATTGTTTGCTTTACTTCTTTATTTACTGTCCTGTGTTTAAAAAAAATAAGTTTAAGAACTTATTTCTAAATAGCAATAATCTATATACATGTATAATGTATAATAATTGAAATGTGAATGTATTTAATAAAATGCTAGTCTACTAAAACACAGCCAAGACAGGTCACTTTGTAAAGACTAAAGGTCAGTTTTATATTATTCAATATGGTAACATGGGCGCCGCATCATTGTAACTTCTGTATTGTTAGCCAGGCATGGCTGAAAGGTCTTTATAATAGATATATATAAATGTATAATGTTATGAGATTTAAGCTATTTAATCTAAATATTGATCTTTTCATGTTATTTGTTGTCATTCTAGAATGAAAGAGGCATAGTTTGTATTTATTTGCCAATTTTTTATGGTGGTTATAAGATCGGTTAAGTCTATCAAACCCGTACAGAGATTCGTTAGTGAAAATAACAGATAAAATTTAAAGTTTTTTCTTAAGAAATGTTTGATAAAGATTTCACATGTGAAATTTGAAAACTTTCTGATGCATAAAAGTATTCTTAATCTTAAAATTAAAATTACTTTGCATGTTGGAAAGGTAACATGCGAAAAGACTAAAAAGGCACGAGAAAAACATTGCTTTACAAACCTTAAGACTTAACAAAAAAATGTGATATTATGCATACAAAAGCATTGTACTGTTTACTGATAATCTGCCAAATTTTGTTAACATGGAAACAATGGAACGTCTTGTCACTAAGATTTTTTGCTTTTGGGAACTCTGGCTTCTCTCAAATCACTCATTCCTTTAGGCTGCACACACATGCTTCCTACAGTGGTAATTGCTGGACCAGTGGAACCTTTCTTGGGATCCATTGTCCTCAATTGTGCAACTCCTCTCTTCTTTTCTTATTGGCTAAACCATGCCAACACCATGGCAGGCATCTTCCTGCCACCACCCTGACTCAATCTTTATCTCTTTGTAGATGCTTACTTCTCTGGGTGCATCTGAATGACAACATGCAATGAGCTGTGGAGGTGCATTCACTCCACATCAACGTCTTTGATCTTCTTGCCATCTATCGGACATGTTCCCATTTCATTACTCTTCTTGTGGATTGGTTGGTCATGATCCACACCAACAATTCCACAGTTATTTCTTATATCAGCTGCTGGGGGTATCTGTTCCAGAACTCTTTGCTTCTGTGCATTGGACCTGCTATTCTGGACTCATTTCCATTGGGTTCATCTCATGGCTTGACATGAGCTGGGGGGATCTGAACTTGGTGGTAGATCATTTCTCTCAACTGGACAGCATTTTACATCAGGTTTTTCATTGGTTTCACTCTCAGTTAGACACACCTTTTATTGATGCCTTTCCCACTCCTCTCAACACCAAACTTACCTTCTTCTTGTCCCCAGTTCCTTATCCTTTAGCCCTGGCATTCGACATTCTCAACCAGTACTGGTCTCACCTTTTTCTATATGCCTATCATCCTATTTGTCTTCTCCTTCATGTCCTCACATTGATACATGAAACTCCTTATCAGGTCCTGTTGGTGGATGCCTCTTTAGCCAGCACATTCCTAACTTTTTCTGCTTTATAAATTAGCATCCAGGTCCCCTCTTCCTCTGCTGCATTTCCACTCTTTCTTGCTCCAACCACACATTTCTCTTTCACTCAGGGATGTCATCTCTTCCTCTGCATGTGTGAGATACACCTGGTCTATTGCCCACAGGGGTTGATTCTCTGATAGTGTAGCCTTTTTTTATCCCATTCTTATCTGTCTGTCAACAGAAGCACCAGGTTTTCTATGTTGGTCCATCAGCCACTCCCTCCAGGCCATACTACTGTGGCCCACCTTTCAACTTTTTTCACCTGGTTGTTTAATCCTGGATTGTCAGTTTCCACTATTGTTGGTTATTGGGTGGTTTTATCAATTACATTTAACCTTCTTGTTACCCTTAGGTTTTTCTTCTCCCTTTCCTCACCACTTTGTTCTGATCCTTCCTTCTTCACTGACACCCTCATCCTACTCTCATGCCCGACCTGGTACCTTGATGTGGTTTTATGCGCACTTCATTCAAACTGTTGACTTCATGTTCATTATACCATCCTTCTCTGAAGAATTATTTCCTTCTCCTTCTCACCTCTGGTTGCCATCACTTGGATGTACATGCCACCAATGCTAACACTACCTTTCACCCTACTTACTTGCTTCTCACCTACCCATACTGGGCCTTTCTTCCTAGGATTTTAGTTGATTGGGCAAGTGATTGTTCTTTCACATTTCATCACATCGAATTCAGCTGCTGTCTCACTCTTGCATCTCATTTTCACTGAGCCTTGGATGAGATCCTTCAGGCTGATATTTAGACAAATATATACACGTTCGTCTCCCATTATCTTCACCATCTGGCTGTTTCATCTCCTGTGGGATTTTGACTCCCTTCAGTCACCCTTTCTTCAATAAAACTAGACTCCATCTTTGAGATGGGTAGGTACATTTTTCTTGTACATTACTCTTTTCTCACCCTCTTATAGGATCTCCCAGGTGGCTGGTGTTGCTTCCCAGGGTATATTCATTTCCCACAATTTGCACTGAGCTAGGGTTAACAGAAAATGCTCAACCCATCTGCCCTGGCTCTACCAGTGCCCACTGTCAAGATGGGGTTTTCCACAAAAGACCACTAGAGATTGTCTTGTGTTATTAAAATTTCTCAGTTGTCTGACCCAGACTGTACTTTCTGTGAACTATCATAGAAAAAGCCAGCACCAAGGAAGTGACAGCCTTCTTTGGCTCATGCTTACTGGCTTTTAAATAATAGGGTTTTGTGGTCACCCATTGCACTGTCTCCAATAAAAGACCTTTCAGGCAGGCATCCAATGAGGATCTGGCCACTTCTCCAGGTCTCCCCAGTGTGAATACCCCTCTTCAAATGGAGCATGGGAGACCCTTGCTACATACCATTTTCTAGGCACTGGGGTGGTGGACCTTGGCAAATTTCTCACTGATTATGTACAGCAAAACATGATGCAAAGCAGGGCAGTGGTGGCACTGTCTTTGTAGTGGTAATCACATCTCAATTAGCTAATTTGACCTCTTTCTGCAGCAGGATGGATCACCATCCCCATTCTTATGTGTATATGGTCTGATCGAACCCTGACCATACTACACTTCTTGGCTCACCAACCACTTGTGTGCAGGTGCTTAGTTGGTCATGCAAATATTTTGCCCATCCCTGAAATACTTTGTATTCTTTTACCTTTCCCTCTCTTTCCTTCTGGGCAAAAAGTGTACCTGGGTTGAGATGAGATGTGAAGGGAGTTCATCTAGATTTATTGATTGATTGCACCAGCTCCTCCACCATTTCGTGAAAGTCTGGCTATTCTGTGTGTGAAGGTAAGATATTATCTCAGAAGTTAACATTTTCTTTACCTGAAAATGTACTTCCGATAGATACTCGCCTCATCACACCTTTCCACCCCTCTTCCCTACTTCTGGTGCACTTTCTCCTTTCCTCATCTATGAATGAAGTTATTTCAAGCACAAATGCTTAAGGGAAGCTACTGTGCAAAGAGGTTGTATTGCCCTCCTATTGGTGTAAGGCTGTTGTCACATGATGATGTCATCATGCAGTTCACATTATACACATGCTTTTTAAGTGGGAGTTAGCTCAAGGCCAGTGGCATGTAAATTTCAAAGGCAGATGCATGAGGGATCAAGCTATTCTATGTGTAAAGGTGAGTATCTGTCGGAAATACATTTTCAGGTAAGGAAAATGTTATCTTTCATTTTAATTGAAGTTATGCAGGCAATTGTTATATTTATTAGATATTATTGAGCATTGTTTAATTCTGTTTATTGCTTTTGTAAATGGTTCTCAGACAGAGCTCAAAATTTATGCTAACAAACTAGCAAATTGCTGGTTAATATTGTATATTTTTACTATTTCAACTTGACCGGACATGAAAGAATTGCAAGTACACATTTAAAAGGAAGATTTACAGATTTTTACACTAGAGTATTAATATATCCATGATACATGCCATCTATATTTTAAGATTCTGTGTATAAAAGGTTACTATAATTGAAATCAACAAGATCATCTCTCTTGCCAGTACCATGCCAGTTTTGTAATCCCCAGTTGAGTTATTTAGTATACCCAGTCTAAGTATCAAGAAATGGGGAAAGGGAGACCACAGGTTCAATTTGTTTGACTGGTTGCCAAGACGATAAGCATTTAGAACAGCCAGCTAGAATCACCATTAAATCTCTGCAGTGCAGTTTGCCAGTAGTGTGGGTTATGTAATTAGAAATACTGTACCCAAATGGTTGTTCATTAGAGATGATAATAAAATATAAACCATATTAACTACGTATTTTTTTTTCCCGCATTCCTTTTAATATATCTATGATTAACACAATTATTAGTCTTATTGGCTTCTAATGGTTTGCCAGCTTTCAGTATTTAAACCATGACTTTTTATGATAAATATTCTTTTTTTTCTAAAGGCTTGTTGTCAACAGTAGGGAACTGTTGACTTCATCAATCTGTGCACTTGTGGCATAAATACATCACTTTCCACCCAAATCAAGCTTTTTTTACTTATGTAAACTAATTAAAAACTGTTATATATATAGATAAATTGAGTTTTGATATTCAAATATATTTGAAAAGAAACTTTATATAGAAGTCTTGTACAGACTTTGGATATATACATATTTATTAACATTTAATACATGAAATATTAATTATGTCACAATTAGAGTTAATTTTAGAGAAGAATCATGATGATGCTAGTAGCAATCCCAAGTTTGCTTGGGGAAAAAAAATTAACTGTCAACCATTGCTAATGCCTTCCAAGGTTAAGGTCAAGGCCCATCAGAAGCAATATATATTCAAGTTGTATAATAATAACGATTTTAAATGAGCTAGAAATATATTAAGCTTTAAAATGTTAAGTGGGTTTGTTTTGTTTTTACATCTTAGATTCAGAATACACAGATTCAGACAAATACAACATCATCTCATATAATTCATGGGAGCACTCCACTTTCCCAGATAGGTGCTTCTTCTAGTGGAGCACCAGGAGAAAACAGGGTTCCACCTATTGGTAAGTGACCATCCTGATAAAAAAAAAATGTTTTGAAGCTAGTGGCACTAGTTGCATGCTGATGTAGTTTAATATTCCATCCCTGTTATACATATATTATTCCAGTACATTTTGAGCTGGAATTCGTTTGTGAAAAAGGTTGAAAGAACAGAAAATTATTGTTGCAGTCTTATGAATTAGTTAGCAGTATTAAGGATGTAGGAATTAGAAATAGGCAATAATTTTTCAATTTGATGTATTTATTCAAAAGAGCTGCAAATAATAATGATTAAGACATAATCTTACTATTCACAATCACTAAATGAAAGTGGCTTCACTCATCACTAACTGTAAAGGTTAAATAGCATTTCAATCAAAGTTTTTGTTTTTCTGTATTATTATATAATTCATAACATCTCATTTGTACATATTTTTACAGAAACTGTGTTCAGTTAGTTAACAGTTTTCTTTGAAAAATCTATCAACAATCTGTTTCTTAACACATTTGCATTTCTTAGACTTATTGTAAGGTATTAAATTTTTTGGTGTATATGTATACATCTAAAAAAATTGGATGGCTTTATTGTGTTCAGAAATGGATGTGTGAACTTATCTAGTTTTGGTTTTTGACTTTTCTTTGAAAACCTTTAGTTGTGACATAGCAGTAGTTTGACATGACCCACTGGTGGGTTGCAGAATAAAACACAGTAAAACATTTTTCATTTTTAAATTATTTATAAAATAATCAGCTTGAAATGTATGTTAACAAACATATTAGAGCACTATTAGACTCTACTAAAATACAATAGAACAGGACCCCCTTCTCTCACTAATTGAGCATGAGCCCCATAAAATTGTCATGGTGGTCGGATGAGTTCATTATTTGGGAAAGTTTCTAAAACTCCTGTGATAAAGGATTGAAAATTTATTCATCCATACCAAGTAATTTTTCAATATTTTCATTATATCTAAATACTAAAAATACAAATTTTATGTGTACTTGGGTAACACAACAGTCTGTATACTGTTTTCATAGGTTATCTCTAAATGGTTTGTTTACAACCACGTCTAAGACTTGCAACTGCAAAAGTCATCCCTCCAGGGATTATCACCATGTCTGTGTTTACCCTTTCACTGTCGCTGGGATGTATATTTCCCAGTGAGAAATGTTTCCCACTGTCATTCAAAATTGCTCTGCATGACATATAGGAGTAAAATGAGTATTTATTGGCATCCCACCTAAAGTTGAAATAGATTTCTCTCAATTTTTTCTACTTAGCCCTTCAAGTAACCAACGAGGTGCCTAAGCAGAATGTACGACAACTGCATGCTGGCGAGTAGTAACCCTAATTATTATGTAAATATGCTTGATACACTTGACTCGGATAGCTTAGAAGATAGTGAAAGTGACTCAAGTGGTGATGAAGAGGCAATGAGACAAGGAGATGCTAGCTCTCCATCTAGTGATGATAGTTAAGATTATGAACCTGGACCCAGCAGAGGAATGCGTAAACAGCATCGACAATGGGAAATATTTGTCCCAGTCATAGTGCAAGGTGGTGAGAGCACTGGGAAATACACATTCTAGCTACAGTGAATGGGTTAAATTAACATAGCTTATCTTATGCTTTATTGTAACTGAGGCCAGAAGTAACACAAGCAGATGTTAGAGTTGGAAACAAGGTCAACAACCTTATAGTAGTTCACTGATTGCATGTTCACTAGGTGCCTCATAGCATAGACCATGATTATAAGGCAAGTTGGATTTTCATGATCTCAGTTTCATAAAATAACATTGCCTTATATTCAGGATAATACAGTATTTAAAGGATTAGGTCTACTTCACAACTAAGTATTGCACACTTTTTTTATTTTTGTACTTCATTTTTAAATTATAAGACAGGGATGCAAAGTAACAATCAACTTTACTTGATTATATAAATTAATTAATTGAAATAACATTTCTACCTAATAGTACAAATGGGGTAAGATTTGGGCATATATTATAAGCATACTCTGTCTGCCACATTGTAAATAAGTTTTCTTCAAATGTGACCATCATATTCTCTATAGTTTTATATGTAATTCAGAGAGTGCTTTCTTCTGATTATGAAAAGTTGTTCAAACTGCTTATTTTTTTCGATTTCTGATATTTATATTCAATTATAGGGATTTCATGCTAAATCATTTGTCTGTATATTAAGGCTAGTTAAATAAAGTTGAGTAAATTATTCCAGGTGTAAAAAAAACAGCTTATTCTTTATTTTTTAACAACTTAGTATTTCTATGATTAAAAAAAACAGGAAAACAATCAGCATTTGAAATTGAATAAGAAATATTTTAATCTTCTGTATTGTAAATGTCACACATTTAGAAATTTATGAATTTTAAGAAGTTTTTCTCCACTGTAATAGCTCCTAAAGGAATATTATCTCAAGGAGACAGTGAGGAAGAAGATCTTGGAAGTAAAAAGAAACAGAAAAGAGGTGTTCTTCCAAAATATGCAACTAGTGTCATGCGTTCTTGGCTCTTCCAGCACATAGTGGTTAGTCTTCAGTAACTTGGTTGATACAAATATTCTGTTCTAGTTCAAAAATAATTTTAAAAATTGCTATATTTGTATATGGTTTTTCTTTTCATATCTTTGATACAGGTGTAGGAATTGTGACTTTTGTAAAAGTCAAATCATGCAAAATTACTAGAAGATTTTTTGTTGTTGTTGGTATGTGATGAATTATCATGTTGAAGTTGCATTGTTGGTGAACATCTGTATTGTAAAACATCTAACCTTTTTTATTGTGTTAGTTTTATGATATATAGTGAAGCTTACCTTAAGAAAGTATAGCCTTTTATAAAAGTGTGTAACTATGTAGCAGGGTAATTATAATGTTTCTAGTGATAACTGTTTTCAATTTTAGCTCTTGTACACAGAGATGATGTATATATACATGGTGGTTTTTCTAGCCTAATACCATTCATATGAGAAATTTAATTTTTTGTAACTTTTTTTTTATGGAATACAGTAAACTGTTTTCTTTTATTTAATGGCTTCAAAAATATGAGTAAACTATAGAATGTCTTAATAATATGAACTTTAAAGTTCTTTCTACCATTATGTGACAGCTTAATATGAAAGTAAGAACTTATTATATTCGTAAAATAAATGTTTTACTGCTGCCATGATCAGTTTTCCTTTTCAGCAATTTTGTTTTAAAATATATTACGGTAATGTGGTATTTTATGTCAGATGCTGGTTATACACGTATATTAATTTTTTACATTAGCATCCTTATCCTACAGAAGATGAAAAAAGGCAGATAGCAGCACAGATCAATCTTAACCTCTTACAAGTTAATAACTGGTATGTGAAATGTAATCATAATTAACTAGTCAATTTATTAAATTAATTACTACCCACTTGCCATAAATGAAATATTTAAATTTATTCAAGTAATAGAGTCATTGATAATTTATCAATCATAATAGGTAGGCAAACAACAATTTATATGCATAAGGAAGAGTTTTATTGATGATGGAACATACTACAAGTTTCAATGGAACATTGGCCTGTGTTCTTCAGGTATGATCTGTAATAATACAGGATTTATATATAGTAACAAAGACAAATGACACAAGGATTAAATGTGATGGAAATGATGTCAGGAAAGGTAAAGATCAAGTGTATGAGCAGTGAATAGACCTTGCCAAATATGGCTGATGTTGCTAGGGCCATTATCACAGATAAGTGAGAGATTGTTTGCTTTGATGATTTCTATAGTTTCTAAATAATCTCTTCCTTTTTCAGTTTTGGGTTGGTGTAGGAGAATAACTTCATCCCAAAGTATTTTATGACCTGTTTCAAATTGATGATATGTTTAAGCAGATATCTGAAGTTCACCTCTACACATTTCCAAGGATCATGATATTTGTCCTATGTAATTGTTTCCACTTTCACATGGGATACGATATATATGCCTTGCTTTTGTTCCTTTATTAGGGATTCTTTTGGGCTAGGTAGTAAGGTTTTATTCTTATATGAAGGTTTCAATGCAGTTTTTACGATGATGCTCAAATTATTAAATAGGCTATTAGTTTCTGGCATAAAATGGAAACGAAACGTTTAATCCTTGTGTCTTTTTGTCTTTGTAACTATATATAAACCCTGTATTGCTTAGTACAGATTATAAAGAAAACATGTAGTATGTTCCACCAAGAATAAAACTCTTCTTCATGCTGATAAATCATTTGCTTACCTATTATTAAAAGACTATTGTGTTATGAATATAAACAAAAACAACAGCAACATGTATGCAGTTCCAAAGAAGTTAATGATTATCTTTGGAGTAAAGCATAAAGATTTTAAACTTTTATCATTACATTAAAATAAGAAAATGTTAAAATTTCACAAACAACAAAAAAATCAATTTCTTTTCAAGCCACCATTTAGACTGAAAGTAATGATATTCATGAGCATTTTACAAATTTACAAACATTAACTAGTACAGTTTACAGACTTATGCATTACATAAGTATCACTAATGGGCTAATAGCTTTTGTTCGATTAATCAGTAAAAGGAAATGCAGAATTTTTATTGTTGTTGGGAATGCAGTAATTAAAAACACTACATGCTAATGCCTTCACTTCAAAGGTTATTAGTCCTCTTACAGAATGAGTGTTACTTGCATGATATGAAAAAAATACCTGAAATTTACAACAAGCTAGGCTACTTATGATTTCTCAGAGATTATGTGTTTAACCCTCTTACTACAAGTTTCAGACTTTCCATACTATAAATTTTAATATGTTTTGTGTATCTTCACAAAATTTGGCAAGCTTTTAGTAAACATTGCAAGTCTTTAGTACACAAAAAATCAGGTGTTTTGATAAATTATTTTTACTCAAAAATTTGTCCCAGTGCAAAGTGATTTTCATGTTGAGGTCAAAAGTACTTTTCTTCATATGAAAAATGTCAGATTTCATTTGTGTAATTTATGAAACCTCCTAATTAAATATCAAACTTTTATTTTTCTTTGTAATACTTTATATTTTATCTGTTATTTTCTTTACCCTAACTCTGTATACAGTCGATCAATTTGACCAATCTCATACCCACCATAAAAAAAAAAGAAATCTAAATTACCTTTTTTTTTCTCTCTAGAATGACTGCAAATTGTAACAGGAAACTACAATTGTTTATTTAGATAGATTAAAGCTCATAACAATATGAATCTCTTTATACATAAATTTTATTGCCCTTTGATCTTTGTCTGACTAGTAATACCACCACCACAAAAGTTGTAAATCACTTGGCGAAGCCCCCCAGTGGCACAGCGGTATGTCTGCAGGCTTACAACGCTAGAAACCAGGTTTTGATACCCGTGGTGGGCAGAGCACAGATAGCCCATTGTGTTGCTTTGTGCTTAACTTAAAAAAAAAAAACACTTGGCGAATGTGTAGCTCAAATTACCATATTGAATTATGCAATATATAAGGTGCTTGTGAGTATACCTTGTGAAGAATTATTATTTTTATTTTTAATTATCTAACCTAGGATAACCTTATCCAACCTAATAAGTTTCCAATTTTTTTACATTTGATAAATATAAAATATACACGAAAAACGAGAAATATAGTATTTACCTGTGTCCTCTTGTGTTTTTACTGTTGATTGTTGATGGAAATTAAACATACTTTTTTATACTGAAGGTACTACCAGAATAAATTAATAATACGTTATTTCATAGATTAATACTTTAACTTTCTATTGGTTGTAAATAATGTAGTATAAAATGTCAGAAAGAATTATTGGCAATTTATGAAAGAGAGAATGTGGCAGGTGGGTCTGATTTTCTAGTTTATGGCTCCATAAGTAAATATGATTGAAGGCTTAATAATATCTAAATAATGTACATTAAATTCAGTACTTCTTGGGTGGCAAATTAATTACAGAAGAGGAAAGACCTAGAAAACATATGTCACAATTCTTATACTAGTGCAGATTGAGGATTTTTTAAATATTTCCTTATAAAATTAAGAACTTAAAACTTGTATTGAAATTTGATTTATTAACTACATTTAAAAGTCAAGTTTATTCACATGAAATGAAAATAAAGTAGTTTAACCCATTCAGTGCAGTGGGAAACATACATCCCTGCTGCTGTGAAATGGTTAATTAATTAAGTTTTGAATATAGCTTTTTTAAAAAGTTATGACATGCTCACTTTGACCTACCCATAGCAAGAGAGTTAAACAACATCAACCATTAAAATGTATATTTTTCAAATAACTGTAGTTATCCAATAAAATTTCATGAACAATATGAAAATTTAGATTTCTCATTAACTCTAGTTATCTGTTGAGAAACATCAAATATAAGAACATGGATTTTCAAAAATCCATATTTACCTATCAAATGGCAGTTTATAAAAGAACATAGATTTTCAAATAACCATGGTTACGTGCTAAAAAACACAAACAATAACAATAGTTTCTTGTTGAAACAACAACTATAATAAATTGAATTTTCCAGTAAAAATAGAAGGCACTTTACTACTAATTGGATGATACACATTTATTAATTTTCTAAACAATCAATTTTTTGTATGTATTTATTCCAGTTTTCACCAAGAAATTATTTGAATGCCTCATATGTTAAATCATGTGCCTAGTCTTCACACTGATTTTTAATAGTTGCTTGAAAACTAGCCTTATCAAATTCAGGATGAGAAATGCAATATAGAAACAAAAAAATTATACACACTGAGTTAAATTTTTGTTTTTATGCAGATACATCGATAAGATAAAATAAATATCTACATTCATGCTGCTATAATTGTGTTATTGACAAGAATAGTATTGTATCTGTCAAACATGGTTTGTACATATGTGCAGCTTTGCTAACTTAAATCAATATTAGTAACTTTTTTTTTCAGTCAGTCAGATTAATATATCCCAGATCTATTATATCCAGTACCTCATCTTCCATCTGTTTTTCAAACACACTCAAAGGAATATTAAGAAACTTTATGAATTTTTATCAGCTATTGTTAGAAACAGTTTTTTTCCAAGTAATATGCTAAATAGTAATGAGAATTGATATTTTATTTACAAAGTCCAACTAAAACTAAATTGTATTCATATTTCTAAGATACCTAGAATGCTTTTTCTGTATTGTATTATACCATTGATTTGTTACTTTGTGCTATTTGGTTTCATATATGTTCTAGAGACACAAATTTCAGATTATTTAGCCAAGTTTTATGTAAGGGTTCTTTTCAGTTGCTGTCATTTTACTGAATTAAGTAATTAGAGCTAATAGTAGGTAGACAAACAACAACTTAGAAGCATAAGGAAGAGTTGTGTTGATGGTGGAACATACTAATGTTTCAACAGAATGGTCTGTTAAAACGTGATATATTTCACTATCAATAAAACTCTTCCTTATGCTTATAAATCATTGTTTGCCTACCTACTATTATATTAGCATAATGTGCTTCCATACTCAAGTAACTTACAGCTATTCAGGTGTTTAAGCTGCATCTTCAAGACTTGGTTTTATTAATCTCAAGATGTCTATTTTCAGGAACCATGGTACCTATGGGAAATATTAAAAAGTCAGATTTATATTTGTAGGTTTATTAATGCCAGGCGGAGAATTCTTCAGCCAATGTTAGATGCCAGTAATCCAGATGCAAGTCATAAGGCCAAGAAAGTCAAAACCCAAACTTCTCGTCAAGCTCAACGTTTTTGGCCAGAAAATATTGCTACCCTTAAGCCAAATGTTTCTTGCAAAGCGAATCAACAAACAAACAGTATGAGTGGTAGTTGTAGTCAAAATACAACTCCTTCGTCAAACCACTCGAGCTCACAAGATGGCATGAATAGTAAGTATCAGTGATACATTTCTAACATTGCTTGTGCATGGTCACTAAAGACTGGGGATAATAATTCATAACATAAATATCCTAATCACGGTTATTCCATCTGCTCAAATGTATTCTGGATTACTAGAAACTAGGAATATTGATCTAGATATCCTTAGAAACCCCTGTGCTCTATGGAATCTAATATGATTCATAGACATTTCTATAAATATAAATAAAATTATGACTTATATCTCCGGAATGTATCGTTATTAAATTAATATTTTACTCTTACAGCTTCATCAGGAACTATCGATATCGTACAAGTTCTGGAGATATAGGTTCTGTTTCTATTTACATTTACTCAACATATTCATGGACAAATCTTTATTTTATTTTATTGAAAATACTTCACTAAGAAATATGAGTTTATGTATGTGAAAGACTTGTACTATTACCTGAAAGACTGCCAAATTTCATGAAAATATACCTACTATATTGAGAGTTATAGGTATTAAATCTATAAAGACTTCAAACAAGTACGGTCAAATTGATCGAGCCCATATTGAAAGTCTTAAAATTAATAATACTTTTCTTCATCTCAGAAATCTCAAATTTCTTTTGTGTAATCTCTTATTTTCAGTAAAACTTTATATTTTCTTTGTTATTTTCTCTACTCTAACTCTATAAAAGGCTGGTCAATTTGACTGACCTCATAACCACAAAAAAAAAATCTAAATAAATCTAAATTACCCTCCTTTTCTTTCTAAGTAACTTTAAACTCATAACAGTATACATCTATTTATAATTAAATTTTAGTATTTGATTGCCCTTTGAATGGTATCTAACTACTGTTCACACCATTGTAAGTTTTAAATCATTGGGGAATGTGCAGCTACATTACCCACAAGCTACTCCGAGCTGTTTGTGTACGTGACTCTTGAAATATTTTTATTTTTTTACCTAATTTTACCTTAACTAACCTAAAGAGATCTTTATTTTTACATTTTAGTTACTTTTACAATAAATATAGAATAAACATAAAAAACAAGAAATAAAATACTCAGTATTCTTTTTTATATATATATATATGCTCACCACTACCAATGAGACTTAACCATACTTTTTTTAAATGAATGGTTGTAGTGCACTAAAGAACATAGACTAATAACATGCAAAAAGCAGTCAATTTCCTCTAACAATCACAGTTTTACTGATTTTCTAACTATGCAACAAGAACCGTTACAAATGCATCCGAGCTAGCCGTTGTGATTCTTATTGGAACCAAAGTTGTATTAGAAGTGAAACTGACTATGCTGTATTCAGGACACAATGTTATACAATACATCATTTGATAGATGAAACCTTGACTTTCTATTGGTTATAGGTAATATATAGTTAAACTTAAGAGAGAACTGTTAACAAATCCTGAAAGAGAGGATATGATAGCTGGGTGTGGCAGGATGGGTCTGATTTTCTATTTGATAGCTCTGTAACCAAACAAAATTGAAGGCTATAAAATTTATGATTTGTCTAAGCAATGATGATTTTATAGTGAGTGATTTATGTTTAATTTCGTAGTTTTTGGGGGGGATAGATATGAAAAGATAGCTAGAGAAAATGTGTCACATGTCACACAAAGGGAAATTCAGGACTTGCAACATTAAAATTCAGGGTATAAAACAAACAAACAATATTTGTGTTAAGTTACTTTTTAATGATAAACTTTAATCCTGTTAGTTTTAGACAATTTTAAGATTGTTATTATGTGATCCTTAAGACAGATCCAGCTTAATATATTTTCTTCAGTTAAATAGCAGATTAAGACTACTCAGTTCTTCACACTGTATATAGTTTAGGTAGAAGAATGTAAAGGCTTACTGTCACTATTTTTTCTTTGACTAAAACATTAATGATCTGAAACATATCAATGAAGAATTGTTAAAATACAAGTCACAAGTGAGAGGCATTTTAACAATTATCATTCAGTGGTGTAGATAACCTTTAAACCTGTAGGGTTATGAAATTGTACATGACATAGATTTTAAGCTTAATACTACACATCTTTAGTGATGTGTAAAATCAGTGTTAAAATACTATGTATTTCTAAACCATTGACTAATTTTAAACATTATAAATGTGCACATGCTTTGAAAATTAACTTTTTTTAGGACATTTGCTAACATTTTTCTAACAGATTTCATAATGTATTTAGTGTTATCATAAGTCATAAAAGAATGTAAAACATGTTCAAAGCATTCATCAAATATTTAAAGTGTAGAAAGCTTCAAAATTTTGTCATTTTTTACTTTGCCTTTCAGAGTAACAAGTAGGGTAATTCTGCCTAACATCAAATCACATCACATGTAACTTGAAACTTTTTAACATTTGTGGACTTCAATAAAGGAAAAAATAGAATATTCGTAACTAGTGTTGTTGTCTTTGAAACTTTAAAGAGCTTTCTCACTGAGCCTAACTATCTTCTATTATAAACATAACGTAATACTGAAATTCACGTACTAACTTAACACTAATGAAATATCAGCCACATTATAAAAACTTCATATGGTTTTGGTAGATGTGACATAATTTTAAGCTTGTAACACATCACTAACAGTAGTATGGTATTGCCATACTCTGAATATTTGGAGATTCAATTTATATTAAACAGAAAGGTATGTTATACAACCTAGATTTTTACAGAGAGAATAGGATTGATGAACATAACATAAGCCTTTTTTTCCATTTCATATAGAAAATTAGCTGTAAAAGCACAATATCACATACTCATTATAATAATTACATATATGTTATTTCTAATAACAAAATATTTACAATTTATTCAGAAATGGTTCTTTTATTAACTATTGAAATTAGTAATGCAACTGTTGCTTCAGTTTGACATTGCAAGGCAGCGGTGTTCAAAGGGTTAAGTACAGTCTGATGATAGCTGAATAGCAAAAATTAGTTGAAAACTTAAAATCTTATCAAAAAAAATCTTTTCAGTCAAATCAATAAAAAATGTACAGTGCATATCATTTACCACATCAGTTTATATCTCTTAACTTGTGTATGCCTTCTTCTAGCAACAAAAGATGACAAAGAAAACCCACAAAGGAATCATCACACTCCTCCAACATCACCAGAAGGCAGCACAGGAATAAGCCATAATGAATCAGACATCTTGTCAGAAGAGGAGAAGATGGTTATAGAAGAAAAACCATCTGTTGAAAATTGTAAAAAGTGACATAATTACTTGTATTTATGATTCATAATTCTTTTTGTGATGACAGATTGTGTGGTAATGGAAAGTTGTACATTTTCCTGTAGTTCTTGTTAACCCTATATAACTATCATTTGAAAGTGCAATTTTGTCAAACATACTATCCTTTTCAAAGGTTAGTTGAAAAATTGGGTATCACTGGGATGCAATATTGTGATGTACATATACATATGTAAATTTACAAACAGTAGAAACAGCACATAAGTCTGCATTTAATAAAACCTATCAACTGTTGAAAGCAGTTTTATTTAATCAAACATAAGTTGTTGTTTCGTCCTAAATCTGATAACTCTAATAAAGAGAAAAATATTGAAAGAAACATTGTAACACTTGTATGTAGTTTTCAAAGTTATCCTGTCATTTTCTGACCACATGTTTTAATGTATAAACCCTAAATTTATCTGAATTTGTCATTCAATAGTTTCAGTATTCTCCTTAATATTTTTCTTCTTCTCTGTTTGTTTTACTTACAGACTAACATAAAAGTATTTCAACATATTGACATAACATGCTATGGTTTTGAGTGAACTTTATTTTCCAGTATATTTGTTTTTAAAATTGTCTATTATATATATATATATATATATATGTGTGTGTGTGTGTGTGTGTGTGTGTGTATATAGACAGAGAGAGAGAAAGAGACTTTAGCATAAAATATTACTAATAACCAGTTTAAAAGCTATCTCTTATTTTTTCACTTTTTGTTTTTGGGTTTGTTTTATTAAGTATTTCAATAAGAAAAAGTTTAAGCTTACGACTTTATTCAAAATCCATATTAGTCCAGTCTTTTACAGATCTTTAAGAATTTTCCAAGATGTGAATTTCTTGAAGTTTTCCAAGGGCCATTAGATATTTAGCATAGAAATATTTAAACTCAAAAGGTATTTGTGTTGATATAAGTATAGATCTAATTTTTGCTACATTGTAATGGATAATAGAAATACTAAAATTGTCAAGTTTATATTATAGAATGTGTATATTACTACTTTTTATATATCTGTTTCTATTATATTCCAGAAATCCATTTCATCACGAGAAAAAGGTTTTTATAGTACAAAAAAATCCAAAATATTTTTAGTACAATATTCTTGCCATGGGTCTTTTTCCTTCTTTTCAGTTCCTATGATTCATACTCACCATCAGTAAGTATCAACTTCAAATATGAAGTTGTCAGTAAAGAAAGGAAAAACTCAGGCAGAACTAAAATAAATCAGCCTCATCTCTAACTCTTAATACTGATTGTGCTAATCCATTGATTAAATTAATTAGTTAACTGTGGAATTAGTATTTAAAAAGTTAGAAATAATAATTACTTTTAAATGAAGTTTTTATATTTTCTTTATTCTTAAATTCATGTAGCTGCAAATATAATGCACTTTCATTTTTCTCTCTCTAAGTTAATGAAGTGTATTTAATTTACTGTGAATTTGAAACTACGTTACTTATTTATTTGTTTTATAGTGAGATAAATTTCTTCAAATGCTCGGTTTTTGTTGTTATGTTTTTGTATATATATATTTATATTCTTTCTTCAACTTTGCTTTATTAATGCTCTCACAAGCGGAAAAGTGAAAAACAGTATGAAAACTAGAAATATGAGTAACTAAAAGTTATAAGTACATTAATGAATATCTAGTTTTAAGTACAGGAATATATAATTTTTGCTTTACAATAGTTATGTAATTAAAATAATCTTTATTTTTCATTAATGATGGTTTTTTCTTATATTTAGAAAAGTAAAGAATTTATTTGTATAGATTATTTAAAGAATTTGATGTGCTGTACTGTAATTCAAACAACACATTTTTATCAAAAAAGCACGAATATAAAATCATTGTTAAAGTATGAAGTGAAATATAAGTAATTTCCAGATCCCATTAAAAATATGTAAAGCTCTCTATTTTTTGATTTAATTTCCTTAATGATTTGTAAATAATTGTTAGCAGTGTATAAAAGTATCTAAAAAACATAATAATTTGGTTTAAAGTATTAAAATTTCTTTCAAATGGGGTAAGAATCCTGTGTATATGTATAAATGTTACTGATATTCTATATGTTTCATAGTGTTGTTGTTTAGACTTGTCAAATGGACTCCACGGAATAGTGGTATTTATAGTGTCACCTTTGATAATGAGCAAACTGCTTTTCAACATAGTGTGTCTACTAGTTGCTACATAGTTATATACATGGTGAAGGCATGTATCTGGTGCTTTTGTACCTTTATATTTGAAGAAATAGTTTATAAGTACAGTTGTTATGAGGAAAGCTTGTATTTAAAATGTTCATTACTTTAAAAACATATCAGATGGTAAGACTTTGTGTAAATTCATAATTAGTTGAGTTGAAAACTGTAATTGCAAATAATGTTGCACAGATTTCTGTGAGTCATATCTAGTCTAACAGGTCATAGTATTCAGACATTTGTGAAAATATTCAGCACCATAAAAGACATGAATAACTAACACTTTGCCAGAAAACAAAAAGTTCGGTCTTCTAACCACAGCAGTTTAGTTTTCCTTGTAGACTGACAATGATGAAGAATGGTTCGATTGGATTATAGAAAGATTCAGTTGTTACTACGTATTGTTAAAATATTTTCCAATTATCTGTGTAAATAGTTTTATTATGCATGAAAATAATTGTAAAAGAACTGCTTGTAAATAAGTGTATTTTATAAATTTTTCAGTGGTAATGTTCAGGATTTTTGACTTTTCTAGGTTTACAAAAATTCTCAAGTGAAATAAATTATAAATTTTCTTCATTGTTAGAAATTTACAAGTGCATTTAACTTTAATTTTTATATTTTTTTTTTACATAAACATAGTTGTAAAATCTTGAAATATATTTGATTGTATTAGGTATTCTGAAATATATCAGTGGGGAAGCAAAGTCCAACATAGTTTATCTTGGAAATTTAGTATTATAATAACGTTAATAGAATTTTTTTTTCAAAAATTAGGTAAATCTTGCACACATTGTAACTAACAACCTACCTAACTTTACAAAAGTTCAAAGTATCTACTATCAATGTCAATGCAATGTATGATATTATCAACTTACATGCCCAGTCTGGCATTAAAATCTAAAATGCTGAGTCGATCCATTGTCAAAGGATAACCCTACTAGGTATTTAATATTTGTACATTTGACTGGTTAAATATCTCCATATGAAAAAGTTACTTGAAAAACAAAATTATCAGGAGACTTGCTGTGGCCTACCTTGTATTTATCATTTAAAATTGCTATGATTCATTCCATTAAGATATAACATTAAATATACTATATATATAAAATAAAATAAAGTTTACATCCACTATAGTTAAGACTGCTCTTACTATGCAGATACAACATTTTTGTAATATATAATGATACTACAATAACACATTTTATATCTAGGGTCACAAACACACAAAAACTTCGATAAACCCCACCTGTTTACATATTGAAGGACAAAGTACTTTTTATTTTTTCAGTATGCTCCTGAGATAAACACTATGCATTATAGGACATTTCCATTTTATCTGAATGTTGTAGTCATTGTTGAGTAGCTTAAACTACATATAGCTGTAATTCCTGTACAGTTATTCATTTGTTTCTGTTATAATACCTTCAACCAAAACTTTCTTACAAACTAATAGTATGTATAATTGCTTATATATTTATCCACAAAGAAGCTGTTTTGTGTCCAGAATGTTTCTTTTTAAAAGTAAATTAATGAAAATAATTTAAAGCTGATTTTGAATGGCATTCACATGTAGTCATTGTTGTGTAAAATTTTTATCATTGTAAGGTTAGGAAATTGATGTTCATAAACAAAATATTTAATGCTCTGGAAAATGTATCAGTTTTATCAATTGAAACTTGTGAACTGCTTGATAAATATTATTTACATCACAAGATTAGCATCCATTTAGAAAACTTGTTTATTTATTTTTGTTAATAGTTTGATTTTTATTGACATCAGAATGATACAAAATATAGATTAATACATCAATATATGAACCAGAAAAAATAAAAGCTTATTTTATTTTTTTTGGATAGTTATCCAGGTCAGTGAAAAGCATAATCTTATCACTTAATTCATGTTCAACAAATATATTCAAGTTTGTCTTCTACATTTTATATAAATCTGATAATCTTGTTAAATAATAGGGATGGAAGTAATATATACTGTTGCTGTTATTCCTTTTATATTTGATAGATTTACATTAAGTGTATAATTTTGTTTTATTTATGAGTGATTAACATGTTTAATATTTTATTGTTAAATAATTGAGTATTCTTGCTACTTGTAGTTTTTGCTATAAAGATGAACATTTCATAGTTTATTACGTTATGTCCTTTATTAACTGGTCTATTTCCTCCAGACTGTGAACTTAATTTACAAAAATACTCCCTTTTTTATGTTAAAGCTTCAAAGGACTATTGTTAATAAAATAAAATATGATTAGCTTTTTTTGGTATTTTTCAGTTTATTTTGAATTTGTACAAAGAACCATGCCTTTTACTTGCATCTGAGTAATTATTAAAAAGATATTAAGTGAAAGCAAAGAAGCATGTGTAATAATGTGTCAACCACACTATATGTGCCAGTATCCATTCTTCACCAGGCCTTTTGCTCAGTGCTATGGCCCATCAAATCAGCTGGGATACGATAGACATAATAGTAGTTAAGACGCTATTTATATTAGTAAATTGCTTGACCAATACTGTTATGGTGTAAACTGGATTAAGTTTGTGAAATTAATTGTATTAGCATTAATTTTTCCACACTGTTGAAGTTTGTTCACAGAAAGACCCATATAATATTTTCATAACTATACAAATACCCACAAAATGAACAGTGCACGTATCAAATAACGATGCTACTACTAAGATACGAAAAATTTGATTTATTAGATACCAGCTTTACAAGATATAATGAAATCAATAATGTAGTGTCTGGTAACGATATGTAAAAAAATACAACAAATCCAGCCCTCCAGTGACACAGTGGTATGTCTGCGGACTTACAATG